TAAATGACACTTTTTTTTAAAGTCACCATCATTCCCTCCCACAAACTGTCTCCCCTCCTCCAATAAATTTGAACTAAACTTGTGCAAGAACTAGGAATTCCAAAAAGCAGAGATGAGAGAAGTGCAAATATCTAACCCAGGATTCTCCTGATGCCAAAACCCATCCCTCTGCACTATAAGATACCACCTCTCTAATACAAGTACATCCCATCTTAAAGAATCCTAGGTTAGGAGTTATAAGGGATCTTAAATGTAGTGTAGCTGTTAAATTTCCTCATTTTTGCAAGTGAGGAAACTAGCCTCAGTTAAAGTGGCCTGCCAAAGTCACACAAGCTGAAATTTGAACTCGGGTCATCTGATTCAAAATCCTAATATTTTTTCACTGTATAAATCTGCTTCTGAGAAGTTGTATAAATTAAATTTTTGAAATTCAGGTTCTAGTCTCCTAAAACTGGGTTAGTTATTGAGGAGCTAAGTCTTCTTTGAAAGAAGGAGCAAGTTTTCTTTTTGCCCAGTAGGGTTTGAGCCATATTTCCATAATGCTGTGAGTGTGACTTGATTCCTCTTCTAGTCCCTGTAATGGGCCAGGATGATCGTTGAAACCCCATATGAGTGTGAGGTGTTGGTAGATGGTTGGGCTTATTATTGAAGAAGATAGAAAGAGAATGACTTGCCTTTATGTCAGTGTTGAAAGGGAAGTAATTGCCCTTTTGCAGGAGGGGTAGCAAAGAGGTGGTTAGAACTTTAGGGAACTGCCAGCTCCTCCGGGCTTCCTCTCCCTTGCACAAGCATAACAATTCCCATTTTTTAAAAAATGGTGAGTTTTATTTTTTCATCCCGTTCATTTTCTAATATGTCTCTCTACCCTCCCTCCCCGAGACAGCCATCTGTTGTAACAAAGAAAGGAGGAAAAGTAGTCAACAAAACTGGCAAGCGGTGTTCCATGCCCACAGTCACCGCTCTTCACAGAAGAGCAGAAGCGTTCTCCTCTGCTGGACCAAATCTGGTGGTTCGGATTTCACAGTGTTTAGTTGTTGTTTTAATTAAATTTTACTTTATTTAGTTATCAAGCTTTCATCATTTTTTCTCCTTCACAGTTCCTTTCCGAGAGAGAGAGAGAGAGAGAGAGAGAGAGAGAGAGAGAGAGGGAATATTCCCATATTGGCCATGTCTAAAACTGTGACTCATTCTGCTTATTAGTCCATCATCTGTGTATCAGGAGCATGCATCATCATTGGAACTCTGGAATCATAGTTGTCATTGCAACTGTTCTTTTTTACAATGTGGATGTTTTGGTGTAAATTTTTTTTCCTGGTTCTACTTATTTCAATCTGTATCAGTTCATAGAGGTCTTCCAAGATTTCTCTGAAGCTGTCACTTTCTTCACTTCTTACAGCAAACATTAGTGCCCTATTAAATTCATACATCTGTTTGTTTAGCCATTCCCTAGTTGATGGGCATCTCCTTGTTTTCTAGTGTTTTCCCATTATCTCTGGATTTAAAAAAAAATCACAGTATTTGATTGTCTCTAGCAACATCTCTGTGGATAAATTGTGAATTGGTCCAGGCTTTGCATGATCAGAACCAAATATTGATGTTAAATGGGCTTGATGTCAGCCTGCAGGGGGGTCTTGAAATGAGTAAAATCCTAGATTTGGAGTACAAAGGAACCTTGGGCTAGCCAGACCAATGCCCTCAATTTATAGGTCAGGGAACAGAGGCATAGCAAGGTTAAGTGACTTGCCCAGGGTCACGCAAGGGATTACTCCAAGGCTTCATCCATAGCCTTGTTCTGTTCAGCATTTTTACTGTTGACTTGAGTGAAGGCATAAATAACATGCTCAGCAAATTCTCAGCTGCTATATTGGAGCTACATCTGACATGTTGGATAACTAAATTAGGATCTAAAATTATATGGACAGGTTAAAGCAGAAAGCTGACTCATAAGATGAAATTTAATTGGGATAAATGCAAAGCAGTTTAAAAAAAAAGGCAACTGCAGAAGTTCAGGACAAGGAAGAGAGACATATCTTGACAGATTTGGTAGGGCCAGAATCAGTCATCCAAAAAAATACCCAGCAACCTGGAGTTAGGATCCTATAAACAGAGTAGGTTGGGAGCACAGATCAGGATCTGAGGAAAAGCAGACACAGCAAACAGGAAGCCAGGTCAGACACTCATGGGGTTAGCCAGGGTTTGCTAGGCCCAAGTCAAGAATACCAGAAGTCAGGGGGCAGCTAAGGCAGCACAGTGGATAGAGCAACGGCCCTGAAGTCAGGAGGACCTGAATTCAAATCCAGCCTCAGACCAAACACCTGACACTTAACTAGCTGTGTGACCCTGGGCAAGTCACTTAGCCCCAATTGAAAAAAAAATACCAGAAGTCTGAGCTGGAAGGGTTAAGGGGATGCATTGTAGATTGAGTTAAGGTAGGATTCAAGGCAAACAAAAAGGGTTCATCCCCTAGTAAAGTATCCTTAAAGGGCCTTGATTTTGGGGGGTAAACCCAAAAGAATAATGCCCAGCACATAATAGGTTCTTAATAGATGCTTGCTGAATTCAATTAGATTGAGAGAATACAGTGAATGCAGCATCCTTTGTTCTGGCTATGAATTACTATTCACACAACATCTCTATAGACAGAGAAGACAGGAAAGATGGGGGTTGTACATAAAACTACAAATCATCTAATAAGGCTTATTCCTTAAACAGGAAAGGGGACACAAAGACAGGAATAATAATTACGTCACAATTCACACGTAAACCAACCTTCTCCCTCTTCCACACACCTCCACTCACTATCTGGGTGAGACCCTGAGAGGAACATATAGGTGAAGAAAACCCACAGTATTATATAACTCTTTTTTCTTAAATGTATTTTTATTTATTTTGTCAAATAATTCCTAATTACTTTTTTTATTTCAACATTCATTATTTAATTTGTTTCAAATTCTTTCCCTTCCTTTTGCCCCTCCCTCACCCCTTGAGAAGGCAAGCAATATGAATATATATACACACATGTACATATGTGTGCGTGTATATGTACATACATACATACATACATACATACATACATACATACATACATATATATATATATGTAAAATAAACTTTTCAAAGTTGTCCTGCTTATCTGTTTCATTCTGGCCTTCCTTCTGGGTTTTTTTTTTCCTATGCATTTTAAAAAATGCATTACTGTCCTTTTTTTGGAGGGGGGCAACCCTATTCTGCCCCACACTCCTTATCTTCCCCCCAAAATGAAAAAAAAAAGACAAAACAATATCTACTATCCTTGTAACATATACATAATCAAACAAAAGACAAGCTTCTACGTTGTCTGTGTCCAAAAATAGTCATCTCCCTTTGCATCTTGAGTCTGTCATCTTTCTGTCAAGGGAGGTGGTCAGCATGTTTCATCATTTAGTCCTCTGGAATCATGGTTGCTGACCCTTATTTTACTAGTTTTCTTACGCGCTAGTCAGTTTAATATAAATTGTGAACCTCAGAGTTATTAAATAATTCTTGTTTATTCTCTGCATGCTTTTCAGAGTGGCGAAGCATATTTTGAAAAAATTGAAGAACAGATTCATCAAGTGGGGTGGCTGTATGACAACATTACTAAAGCTAGTTACAGAAAGGTTATCTATTCTTACTACCTCCCTATTGTCTTTGCCTTCTGGCAGTTCTGCCTTTTCAGTAGTTTTTGTTTAATGCAACTGTCCCTGGAAGGCTGAAAAACTTCAGTAGTATAATCATATTTAGAAAATTACAAAGTTGTGTGTATGGGTGTGGGAGAGAAGATTCCTTCCTCCCTCCCTCTCTCCCTCCTTCCTCTCCTTCCTTTTGTTGCATTTTGAGTTCCAAGTTGTCTTCACCCCCCAACCCTGCTTTAAAGAAGGCGTGTGTGTGTGTGTGTGTGTGTAATCACACAATACATACTTCCATATAGCAGCTCTTTCTCGGGAGGTGGATAGCATTTCCCTTTATAAGTCCTTCATAGTTGATCTGAATGATCATATTACTCACAGTAGCTTAGTCACATTAACTTCAAACAATATTGCTATTACTATATACAATATTTTCTTGGTTCTGCTTGTTTCACTGTACCTTATTTCATGCAAGTCTTTCCATGTTTTTCTAGAACCAATCATCATTTCTTACAGCACAGTAGTGTTCCAGATTGATTTACTTTAAAAATGAAATAAAGTGGACGGTTTGAGAGGAAAACTGAGAAGTCCTTTATGAACTGATGCAGAATAAAGTAAATGAATAAGGAGAACAGTTTATGCTATGACAGCATTGTAGAGAAAATCGACTTTGAAAACCTTTAGAATTCTGATCAATAGAATGTTATGCCACAAATTGAGAGGACTACAGAGGAACAGTCAGCTCCACCCCAACCTCCAGGCACAGAGGTGATGGACTTAAAATGCAGAATGAGACATACGTTTTTGTACACAGCCAGTGTGAGAATTTGTTTTGCTGGACCATGCATATTTGTTTTATTCTTTCTTTTTATAATTATTCAGTGGGGGAAGCAGTGGGAGGGAATGCATAAATTCTTGCAAAGCTAAGTAAATAGATACATTTATTTTTAAAAAGAAAATTTTGGTCCTTACAAAAGTCCCATTTTTTTGGATTTATTTCTCTTTTGTTCTCTTGCTAGTCATGTTTTGGGCTCTGAACGATTATTTATTCTTCTTATCCCCCTTTCTCCAGTGAGATTTCAACTTCAGGAACAGAGTTCTTGAGGAACTGAGAAAATTTGGAAAGTTGGTGTTTTAGTTAAGTCAGGATTGTGTCCTTTTGGAACTGTATTTGTTGCTTTTGTAGATTTTTTAAAAATGTATTGAAGAGAAATTATCTAAGGTATGAGATTTATTTGTTTTATTTTGTTTTCAAGTAAATGCTTTATAATTCTCCTAATAAGTTGTACTTTTAAGGGAGAAAATGCATTTTGAGTGAAGAATAATCAATGTCTCTTTTGTTTCTCTTAATAGATTAAAATATGGAAGCCTTTGATGCATCACTTAATAGTTATATGCGGACATGGCTTGGACCAAGAGGTAAGGTGTTAAAATTTTTGTTTCCTTCTTAGAAACACTTGTATAGCTATGTTTAAGAAACCATTTGGATACTAGGACTTGCTCCAACCTGAAAAAGGCAGGTTCATTTCTGTATTCTGGATGAAATCATGGTCACGAGCTTTTATAAGTCCCTGTAATTTAGCAAGTTATATAGTATTACATGGTTGTCGGAGCAGGGAGGAAGCCGCAGCAATTCCTGACTTTAGCTAAAAATCAAGGTTTAGGCCTCCCAAAGCTTGTGGCTTGACAACTTTGACAATTTTACTATTTCCATTGGGATTGTAAGTTCCAGATTCAATCCAGTGAATTCTTTTTAATATTGCTGAGTGCCCTGATCAGGTAGGAGTCCTGTATAGGCAGAGGCTGATAGGTCAAGAGTTTAAGTGAAGACGGTCTACTTTACTTCTTCTTTCACCATTTTATTTTTTAAAATACCCTCCTTTTTTAGATCATGGCAAAGATAAATGTGTGTATAGAACATCATCTCTCATTCTCTGTTACTTTCTTTCTGTCCCAAGTGTTTTATTTGCCAGTATGTGTGTATGTATATATGAGTACATGAATTCATACACACACACACACACATTTTCTAACAATTACACATATAAACATTATATCTCAATCCCACCCCTTTTTTTTTTAACAAGAGAAGCAGTATCCATTGGTAGGGCATTTTCCTGATTTTTGAATGAGTCTTATTAAAAATTTCTTAGGAAAGAGGTCAGATCTAAATCTGGGTAGGACTTCAAAGATCATTAATCCAGCCCCCTCATCTTATATAGGAGGATGGCAAAGCAATTAAGTGAGTTGCCCAAGGACACATAGGTAGTAGAGGGTGTCAGAGTCTGACCTGCAACCCAGGTTCTCTGACCCCAGAACTGGTATTCCTTCTGTTGTATCATACTGAATATCTCTAGGTTTCCCGACCACAGCCACCACCGTTTTTGGGGACCTTATCCAAATAATATAAGCAGAGGAGAAAATATACAGTTTCATTTAAGGGGGAAAAACCTTTAGTTTGCAATTTGGCACCCCAAATTTAAATCAGATCTTCCTCTGAGCTGTAGAAAATGAAGGAGTAGCTGTGAAGTGATTGAACAAGCTTCCAAACTCAGGAAAGAACCTCAGATATCATTAATAAACACTTGGAGCAACTATTTTGTATCGGAAGGCAAATCTCATCATCTTTTGAATTTCTTATTCTGTCTCAGTCTTGAAAATGAGAACTTGAATAAAACTAACTTGACATTGAACCTTAAAGAATGTCTGTCAAGGAAGGAAGTTTGGTTTTCCTGATCATGGCATTGTGACGACATCATTGCCTCCTGTCCTACACATTCAGCTCACCAATTTAGATCATTGGTTTATAGGATTTTAGAGTTGGAAGGGACCTTAAGAGATGATCCAGTCTTCATTTAACTGAGAAGAAAACTGAGGCCTGAAGAAGGGGAAGTGACTTGGCCTAAGGCCACACCTGGGGCAGAAGCCTGTATCAGAACCCAGGTCTTCAGGCATCAGTGGAGGGCCTTTCCCATCAAGCCACATTGCCTTCCCTACCTCTATCCAGTTCTCCTCTTTTCTATTGCTTTCAGTCATTCAATTCTGCCTGCTTTAAATATTCTACTTATTTTGCTGCTGTTGCTTCTCCTGAGTTTCTTTTCTGAGTATTTTCACCATAGCTGCTCCTCACCTACTTAGAGTAACCACATCATTAGCCTAACAGTACCTCCCCCTCTTGGGCTTGGCTTTGCTGGCCACACAGACAGAGACAGGGCCTGCACGATCAACTTCCGAATTCCAGCACTACCACTTTTTGGTTTTGTCTTCCTTCCCTACATGCAGTTCTAAAGACCTAGTTTAAATGTAGTATTTGGCCCTTAATTTACTTAAAAACATTTCTTTGGAAAGGAATGTTTGTTTTGGATGCATTATTTCTCTTAGTAACAAGTTTAAATAAAATCTCCATTCCCACATGTTTCAGAACCCATCCTGAGGAAGTTTATTGTCTACAAAACTTGTTGGAAATTCACCTGGGAAAGGGTACTGCAGGTGTGGTTTTTGTTAGTTTTTATTGAGATGGCCTTCTGCTAAAGGGACCAGTCTAAAAAAATGGTTCAGAAAAACTCCTTTCTGAAGAAATATTTGACATGTTTCCACTATTTTGGATATCTGTACTATTTGTTTCCATTCACTAAATGTTTTTCTTTTCTTTTTTTTTATTCTATTTCAGATTCCCGTGTAAAAGGGTGGTTTCTTCTGGATAACTATATACCTACTTTTGTCTTCTCTGTCTTATACTTATTAATCGTATGGCTAGGACCAAAATACATGCAGAATAAACAGCCAGTCTCCTGCAGGGGCATTCTAGTGGTTTATAACCTTGGACTTACGCTGCTGTCTCTATATATGTTTTATGAGGTAGGAGATGGGTTGAGATTTTATTTTTATTTCTGACTGTTACTCTTGACTCCCTCCTATCTGTCTACCTATTGCTGACCTGAAAATGATAAAGAAAAGGAAGCAGAGAGAAGGGGTCATGCTAATGCAACATCTGTTTTCAGTGGTTTTATCCTAAATAGCCACAGTGTCTTTATATAAACATCCCCTACAGAAAGAGGGATGTGGAAACAGTTATTTACTTTCAGTATTGCTGCTTATTATTATTTTAGTGGAAACAGGTTTGAACTTTTAGTTAGTTATTGATTAACATATCACATTTTTAGGGTTCAGAATCTTACAGTGGATTTTTCCTAGAGTTTTTGTAATGCCAGCAGAATTCAGGGGGAAATTTAGGCCAAATGTGAGAAAAAGGGGGAAAAAACCCTGAACATTTTATTTAATAATAATAAGCACCAAATAAGTTATTGGTACTTGCTGGTTTCATTTTGGTGGGTTTTGGGGATTGGGATTTTTTGTTATTGTTGTTTGGTTTTTTCAGGGATGTAAAGGGATTATGGGGAGGAGGTGTTTTTTGCTTTGGCTTGGTTTGGTGAATGTGAGCACACTCTACCTTGAGCAGATGGAAGTAAATAACTAGAGATTTGACCATTAAGACTAATGTCCTTTTTTAAAGTTTAGAAGAAAGCCTGGTTTTAGGTTTTACATACACTAGGTACATGGACTGAGTTCAGTTCAGATTTGGTAATTTCTCCTACATCATCAAGAGCTCATCAGATCAGGTTGTTTCTGAGACAGTGCTATAGCTTAATGAAAAGGACAAGTCCAATCTAAACCCACCTTATTTCTCCCATTGCCTGGTTTTATGGAATGTACCTATATGCCTCTGAGGCCCAGGGGCTCGATAATTTGTTCTCTGTGACTCCTAGGACAAGAGTAAAGAAAGAATCTACTACTCTTTTAGAAACCTTCAGAGCTCTGCCCCTCTGTAGGTTTACAAAGGGCTGATTTCCAGGCACCATTTTGCAATGGAGAATGTCTTCAGTACTTCATTCCTCACATTTACATTTTTCATCTCCTTTGTGTTGTAGTATGATATTAACTCTTGAAGTTAAGAGTTTGAAGGAGAGGCTGGAGCTTAATGAGATTTATGCTGGTGGAAAATGGAAATTTCTGTAATTCACCTCAGTTGGGTAGATAAAATCCTTCCCTTATGTAGATGGATCTCTTATTGAGCCCCAGTGTAAAAGATTCTGTTTAATTAAGAAATCACATTCTTCCACAGATATTTTCACAGACCAGTCTAAGCTGAGTGGTTAGATTGTGAATAAATATGTTCTTTTTTTAAAAAAAATATTACATAGAATAGATTTCTTTACTGAAACAGCGATGTTTAATCAAAAACTAAGTAAATATAAAGAAGTTAATGACTTTACAGTCACAAGCAACTAAATAAAGTATTTTAAATGACAAAGATAGTTTTAAATTAAAAGACAGATAAGTGTCTTTATTTTACTATATACTGTCATTTTATTGGTACTTGTTATAACCCCATATAACCTTAAATTGTAATTTAATATGATCTGTTAATGTCATGTAAAACCCTCACCTTTTTTTTTGCCTTTTTCCCTTTTTTGTCCTGTTCTAGAACAAAGGAAGTTTAATTAGCCTCCGTGAATGGATGTTGGAGGATTGGAGGCAGGGGCTATTCACAGAAATGAAGTTCAGGGACTTCTGGCCTCAACAATGTGTGCAGAACATTGATCAGTATACAAGTGACTTAACAACAATGCAGACAGATTCCTTTGAGTAAATGCTTTATTTTTCCCATTTACATTTATAGATGATAGAGCCATCTGCTTAAGGAAACTTTTGTTTATATAGTTCAAAAGATAGTGTTCTATTCTTTGTACAACATTCTGCAACTTTTAAAAATACATAGCCAGATTAAGAAAACAAAAAACTAAGATGTTATTTGGCATATTTATTTTTTTCCTAAACATAAAATTTGGATTTTTTTTCTCTTTTTATAAATTGAGCATTTTTCATATTCTGCCAGTATATTTTAGAAAAGGCTTCAGATCTTAATTTTGAATCAGTAACAAATTAGTGCAATAATTATAAGGTGACAGGCAAGTAAAAATATGTTTGCCTCAAAACGTTATAGCTCCCCAGCATTTTTCTTACCACAAAAATCTCAAAGTTGGAAGAGACTCCAGAGACCAAGTAATTCAACCCATACCTGAAAAGGCTCCCTTTGTAACACCCACGATAAGCGTTCACCCACCTAGCTTCTGCTCATGGCTCTGGTTAGAGACAAGCCACCATCTTCCAGGGCAGCCCATTCTGCATTTGGGTGGCTATGAATGTGAGCAAGTTTTTCCCTAACATCAGCCAAAATTTGTTTCTGCAACTTCCACCTATTGATACTAGCTCTTGGCCCCAGAAGGCAAGAAGAACAAGTCTGATCCTTTTTCCACATTCCCACTCAAATACTTGAAGATAGCCAGATAGCCCTCCTGTCAGGGGTTTTTAACCTAATATCTATGGACCTCCTTAGATGAAGTCTGTGGACAAATTTCAGGGAATCCATGAATGGGGAAAAAAATATGTGTGTATTTGAACCTCTAGCCAAAATTCAACATTTCCTTCAGTTATGAACCTAGTCAACAAAATTATTCTGAGAAGGGGTCCATAAGCTTCATCAGATTGCATAGGGGGGTCCATGACACAAAAAAGCTTAAGGACCCCTGGTTCAGGGATCTCCTAAACCTCTCAGATTCCTTCCACAGATCCTCATATGGCGTTATCAGAATCTGGTTCACCATCATGATTGCCCTTCTAGACAATATACAGCTTATATGTTCCTTGTTGTTGTTTTTTCTTTACTTTCATCCTCTTTTTAGCAGGTATACTACTACTATAAAAAGGAAAGAGAACTGTGTATAACTGCTGCCTGACTAGGTGAACCTGATGCATTATAGTACCCATATAACTGGAAGTAGAATTTCCCTCCTGTGCACTGCTAAGTAATACTTAGAACTCCTGGCCTACTCTTTAAGTATCTTGGAATCTTAAGAGCTGTAAAGAATTTCAGATTCTAGTCTGATCCCATACTGGTGAAAGAGTCCCCTGAACAACATAATTTTCTCACTGTCAGTTTTCTGAAAGTATTTTTCTTACTTTTGTCAGGCAAATCCATTTACCCCTCCTTTGCTATTCTTAACCTTCATTTTAAAGATTGGGGAAGAGGGTAGAAGGTTTAGGACTTGTCTGAAGTGAGAAAACCACACTATATTGTCTTCTTCAGTTTTGTATAGGGCATGGGGGAGGAGGGACCAGGGATGCACTCAGGAAAAAGGGAATAAGGACCAGAACACGGAGAAGGGAATAGGGACCAGAACACGGAGAAAGTACTTGAATAAATACAATAGGCTGTGTTCTCTTTAAGTAGATTTGAGGTCAAGGACTGATACTCCTGGTCTAGAATTGATGTTTATGTGTCAGGTGAATTTGGTCCTGTGTAGACCTGGCAGTAACCAAATCACTTTCCAGGCTATACTAGTCATTGTAAGGTTAAGGTTTTCATTTTTTTATTGACCATTAACAGAGACTTGTCTTGCCTTCTTGCTAACTTGTCATGAAGATTTTTGTTTTCTTAAGTCTGTGTTAAGAAACCATGCCAGCCTTGAAGAGTTTGAAGTTAATCAGCTTTCAGTCAGTGTAAGGGAGAGATATAGAAGGAAAACGGAAGGAAGGAAGGAAGGAAGGAAGGAAGGAAGAGTAAAGTGGTCTTGGGAAACCCAAGACTCAAGTACCAAGAGAAAGGAGTTGGGGGGTAAGATAAAGGAAAAAAATACTAAAATGACATTTGAAGACCATGAAATTAAATTTTGAAATGTAGACTATAACCTGGTTCATCATTTAGGTGTGGTTTTTGCCAATGCAATTATTACCAAAAGAAAGAGAGAAAGGAACTTGGAGGTTATAGTAAATTTGGAATTTAGAAAAGCATCTTAGAGATCACCTAATCCATCCCCAACATTTTATTGATGAGGAAACAGGCCTCAGAGACAGTTAGTAGGTTGGTCATACAATTATAGTAAATGTTGCCAGGGGGGGGGAAGGGGGACCCCTTCAACTCAAAATCTGGTATTCTTTCCACTTCATTATTTATATATTGCCTCAACTTAAGAGCCACTGCTTCCAAGTGGATGTTGTCTGTTATTTTAGAGTCTGTTCTGAGAGAAAAAAAATGAAGATCTTTCATTTTATGCCTGTCAGAACATAGATTTCAGTATATGTTTGCACTGATTAAAAAAAAATCTTAAAATTTTATCTAAACTGAATTAACCTGAGATCAGTCGTTGGTTGAACCAAGAGGGGAAGTTGGAACTGCAAGTTAAGATACGATATAGTCTGCAAGATATTTGTATTTAGGAATACTTCCTCTGTAACCATTTCCCCCTTACCGTTTCTGAACTGAATTATTCCACCAAGAGCATATGGAGCAGCCAGGAGGGGAAAACATATATATACATAAGTACCTAAACCCCATTTTTACCTTATCTGAAACTGTTGTTCCAAAGAATTCATGAATTAAAAGCACCAAAGTATGTATGTTTGTATGTTCTCTTACTCCTAGATGTCCAGTAATTGTTAAATAGCATCATGTATCTTATTTGTGCCAGGTCCTGCAGATACAAATATAACTGGGACAGTCCCTGCCCTCAAAAAGCTTACATTCTCTTAATTATTCACCACTGGGGCTAAGAAGCTTACATTTCCTAGTCTGGGGGGCGGGGAGGCGGGGAGAGAAGTGGAGGACGGTGTCTCACATTAGTAAATTCAAGGTATATACAAAATTACTTCAGGAGACACTATCAAGTAGGGAAATTAAGAAAATCTCTCTTGAAGGAAGTGGATCCTAGGTGACCCTTGACTGTTTATGACTAGAGGTGAGAAAGAGCATGACAGATATGTTGCATGAGGAGAGTCGACCTTTGCAAAGGCACAAAAGT